AACCCCCCCCCCCCCCACACACACACAAACAAACAGACAGACGCGGAGTATGACAAGCAATGTATCATACTTAACGTGCAACAAAACAATGGCGGGAAAAGATTTAAAGTCGCCCATTCAGCATAGAAAACCATATAGAATCCAGCAAAAGCTCGAGCTTTATTCAAGCATCACGATTTTCCTCCATTATCGCCCGCAAAGCAACCAAAGATAAAATAATGACTTATTATTGGTTATTCCGTTTTTTCGTTGTTATATTTCTTGGCTTATTTACAGTTCTTTGGTGGTGATGGGAAAAATTAAAAAGTTTGTAGATTTTGTTCTGAGTTTGCAGTTTATTAATATTTTTTAAATTAATTTATTAATATTTTAATATAATTTATTTATAATTCATTGTGAGCAATTCATTTCTATTATTATAATTTATTTATTTATTTTATTATTTATTTAATCTTTACCTCGTAACTCAGCAAGTTAAGCACAATTTTTTTCCTCACAAATATGCAAAAGCAAACACGCGCATACCCAGCACAACACACGCATATATTTTCTATATCTCTTCTCTTTCTTTCTCTTTCTTTCTCTTTCTATCTTTCTTTCTCTTTCTCTCTCTATCTCTCTCTATCTTTCTCTCTCTATCTTTCTCTATCTATCTCTCTCTCTTTCCCTCTCCTTCCTATACTAACTCTAGTTAGCCCCAATTTAAATAAAGTGTTTGACTGGAAAATTGAATGACACCTCAAGATAATCCACATAACTGATTCATAATCGAACTTTTTCCAATTCATATTTCATACATGTATATATGGAGAGAGAGAAAGAGAGAGAGAGAGAGAGAGAGAGAAAGAGAGAGTGAGCATACATGTATATATGGAGAGAAAGAGATAGAAGAAGAGAGAGAATAAGTAAGAGATATAAATGGAATAAAAAAAAGAGAACGAAACACTGAAAAAGAAAAAAGAGAAAGAAAGAGAGACAGAAAGAAAGACAGAGAAAAAGAGAGAGAGAAAGACAGAAGATTATTTAAAAAAGAATACGTGAATAAGGAAGAGACAGAAAGATAGAGAGAAATGGAAAGACAGAAAGATAGAGAGAAATGGAAAGAGATTCAAAGACAAAAAATGAAAAAGAGAGGAGAGAGAGAGAAGAGAGGAAAAAAGGAGGAAGATAGAGAAAAAAAGAGAGAGAGAGAGAGAGAGAGAAAGATGGAAAAACGAATTAAATACAGACACACGTTATCTATCCGTGGTTTATTATAGCTCACATCACATCTTCCATAATGTAATACTCTGGAAGTGTTAAAGTTGCTTATGGGATAAATTCTACATTATATATTTATTATTATTGTTATCATTATTATTTATATATTATTATTTAATAATATTATTTTTTTTGTTATAATTTTGTTTAACGAGTGGGTAGATATTCAGATAGATAATGGATACAGAACAGACATTGATAGTTTTTGAGTTTTTTTGAGGGTATGAAAGAGTTTTGTTTTAGTATCGCATGTTTTGAAGTGAGAAAAAGTAGAATTTCATTGCGTATTGTATTTTAAGTCGATGGATGAACGAATGAGAGAATGAATGAGTAAAACGAATAAATGAATGAACGAATAAATGAATGAACGAATAATTGAGTGAATTGCATCAAAAAACGAACAAACCAATGTAGGAACAAACGAACGAATGAACCAACGAACAATCAAGTGAAAAAACGAACGAACGAACATTTGTAAGAACGAACAAATAATTGATTGATCGAATGAATGGACGAACGAGTGAATAAACGATCGAACGAACGATTGAAGGAACAAATGAATGAATAGAACGCCTCAGCAGCACAATGAAATGTAGAACACTGGATTAGCGGAACTGGTTTTTATAAAAATAAGGATTAACAGACTGCGACTTTTCAACGTTAAATTCCATGAGGATTAGTTGAACATTCGTAATGGAATTTATACTGCTTAGATTACTATTACTATTAAGTAGTAGCGGTTGTAGTAGCAGCAGCAGTAGTGGTGTTATAGTAGTGGTAGTTATAGTAACAGCATTAACAACAGTAGTAGTAATTGTAGTAGCGGCAGCATTAGTAGTAGTAATGGAAGTAAACTAGTATTTTGAAATATTTAAAAACTTGCATTTAAATAAAAACCGTTTAAAAAAACAGTTTCGCGCCATTTTTCTCCCAACCAAACATCCGAATACGTCTGATCTCTTAAGAAATTCATTCATCAATACACTCCTACTTCTCTACTTACATAGCAACAGATTATTTTGTAGACTTCTATTTTATCTTTTTTCCAAGTAACTTACTTGAGAGATTTGATGAAATGGATTCAGTGCGTGCACACACACACGCGCGCGCGCGCGCACAAACACAAACATATAAACGAATACATACACACATACACACACACACACACATATATATATATACACGCACGCACACACGCACATACACACAAATCGGACAAAAGTGCTCAACTTCGCCTGATTTTTTCCTCGTGTGTCAATTAAACAGCCATTACTTGGATGAAAATTTCCCATTCAATCCATTTAAATTTCTACACTATTTAATTTCATATTATTTTGCTATCCTCTATTCTTCTACTTTTTGCACTCTTTTAATCTCTCTCTCTCTCTCTCTCTCTCTCTTTTCCGCTCTCTTTCCCTCTCTCTCTCTTTCTTAGCAACACACAAACGCACACATCTCGAGTCCAAACAACGCACTCCTTTGCATTTCCCTTTCCACGTTTTTTTTCTTTTTCTTCATCGTCTCTCCTCTTTCTTCTTTCTCTTTTTTCATTCTTAATTTTGCTCTCTCTCTCTCTCTTGCTCTCTTTCTTTCTCTCTCTTTCTCTCTCTCTCTCTCTCTTCCAGGAAAGATCAGAAAGTGTAGCGTGTCATAATCTGTCACCATTAGCACCATAATAAATCATACGTGAGATCAGAGCCGATGGATGCAAGGAACTACACGGCTTTAAGCTAATTATATTTTTGTTTAATATTCATAATTTTTATTAATATTATTCTGTTTATTATTTTGTAATAAATATTATTATTATTATTGTTGTTTTATTTTTTCGTAAAATGTGTTTTGTTAGACAATAATTGCTTAAAATTTCTTGGATTTTTAGGAGAGTATTTTTGCTCCACACCTCTAAGCCAAATAAATATATACATATATATATATAGGCACACATAGGCATATAAAGAATGTTTCACGGCTAAACAATACTTCGCACACACTCACATACGCCATCAAACTCACACAACACACAAAAACACACACACTTCATACACATTAAAAAATGTTTACGTGTTTTGTTGTTTAACATTTTACATATACCCAGACACACGCACACACACACAACATCACATACACTCACATAAACCACACACACACGCACACATACACCACACACACATTTGCTGTTTTGTATACCTAACATTTGACTCAACACTGTTTCTATAGAAACCATTTAAACTTCTCAAAAACCATTTCAAAATTTGTCACTAGGGAACATATTTTTCACAAATTTAACCCAGAATAAATTAATTTGAAAAGTTAATTAATTAATATTTGATATAATTCAATAAGTTTTAAACTAGTTTAATTTTAATTAACTAATTAGTTAATTAATTATAATTAAAAAATGGTTGGCACTTGTATAGAAGAGATCGAGCAAAAAATTAGGAACCAGGCAATTAGGAATAGCATACGAACAAAGGAATATTTTGTCGATTTTGATCGTCTGCGTTACGGCTATGTTACATGTTTGTTACTTATTCAATTTAATTAATTAATTGATCAACTAATTAATTATTTTATTAACTATTTTATTTATTTTTCAATATTAATTTAATAAACTTCAATCAGAACATGTGTGTTAAGCCTTTTTTGAACGCTGTTGTTTTAATTAGTGAGTTTAGACATTTATGATCATATATAATATGGCAATAGCAGAAATTTATTGAAACGGTTATAACGTTTAAATGTTTAGAAACATTTGTCTGTTTTCGTCGCAAAAAGGTTCTCAGTTTTTCAGAATAATTTGTCAAAATTTTGGCCTGACATTTACAACTGAAGAGGAAGGGATGTTAATTGAGAAGTACAGGTGCGCACAAAACGGTATGTTCAACTACAAGTACTTTTGTGAGGAAATTGATGGTGTATTCGATCCTAACAAATTTTCCATCGACCCTGCCTGCCAGCTACCTAGCCACAGGTTGATTTTACTTCTTATAAATTGGTTATCTCTTGATTTTCATTTTTTATCTACGTCAAATGTTATCTTTAAAATCAACTTGCCGAAACAACCAAGTTTTAAAACATTAAACCAAATAAACTTTCTTACATCCGTCTAGAAAAATTTGTAGTCCCATATGGAATTTCGGATTAGAAGAGAAACTTTTTGAAATCCTGAAAAAACTTTCTGATTACTACGAACGCAGAGGTGTCACAATAAAGACCCTATGCAACGATTTTGATGAGAGAAACGAGGGTCTCATCAGTGAAACTCAGGTTAGTCAAATCTTGGACAGCAAGTTAGCTCAGTTGGTAAAAGTCTCATGTTTCGCGTCGTTGTTTCTCGATGGCCCGGTTCGAATACCGTCTGTCCAAAAATTAATAACTATCATACGCGTGCATACAAAATGTGTGTGCATGTCGTGTGGATAGTATAGCCTTTGTTATATAAATATATATTCATAATGACTCTAATACAATGTAATAGTGATGGCGATAAAAATTATGATAGTAATATAATCTAATAGACATACTACAAAAATGAGATCCGTTCATCGCAAGTTAATTTTTTTAAATGTTATGTTAACACTCTCCGAAGTTTTACAGGAGCATAATACACCCGCTGAACTTTTCCGAAAAAGAAATTATGATACTGTCACAGAAATACCAAGATCAGAAATTTCCAGGTACTCAACTACGGTACTTTATAGTGCATGTAACATCATACATATAGCATTCTTTAACTTTATTTAATTTTCTCTCTCCCCTCTCTTTCTCTTTCTTCCCTCTCTTTCTCTTTCTTCTCTCTCTCCCCCCCCTCTCTCTCTAACAAGGTATGATAAGATACATGGAGATGGAAAATGACATGAAAAGACTTGAAAAATGCCCGAGTGATAATAGGAATGGACATAGGAACATCTTATGCTGCAAAACTGAAGTGAATCGTCATCACTGTTAATATTTATAATATAATATGAATATAATTATTAATATAACCATTGGTATAATATCCAGGCGAGGAGATGATGCTTATGTTGTAGATTTTTGTAAGAATTAATTTAGAGAGAAAATTACTACTGCTAATTATAAATAAAAGAGTAATAGTGATTATTATTTATCAAAAAAAAATAGGAATTAAATTGCAAAGACCTCAAATCGATAATGGACGAGTTGTGCAGGGTTGTGTACAAAGCGCGCGTACGTTCTGTGGAATTTTTTAAAGATTATGACCCCTTGAGATCAGGTGGATAGTTATTATTATTAATTATTATTATTATAATTTATTATTCATAATATTATTACCATCATATTATGATGTAGTAGTGTCCAATAATGAAAATTGTTGCTATCCGTCATGTACCTAGGTACCAACCATTAAACACAGAATCGAATGCATTTTTTCATCACACACACATATTTCATTATTCAATTTGACACATTCGACACAACCATCATTGACGAATCGATTTTAAGTTTGAATTTTTTGTAGTTTAGTCTCTTAGAAGTCTTGATGGTTAAGCGGTAAGATGTTTGTCTTCTATTTACCGCTAACTGGCTTCGAACGCAGAAAATCGCCTATCTTGTTATCAAACGCATCTGTGATTATTAAATTAACTGATTTATTAAACCGTCAATATTTTTTTATAAAAATTAATTCTAAAATCAGGCCTGATTACTGTAACCCAGTTTTTGGCCGGTCTCGACGCGTGCTTAGGTAAGGAAGTTGACCTTTCAGAAGAGGTCAAGTGCATCATTTTCCGGGGGTTCGAGGTTGAGGATAAGAGGATTTGTTATCGGGATTTCTGCAATATCCTGGATTCTGGTCGTGATTTTGTTGTTTTTACTACTACTACATTTATATTTACTTCAAATGTTTGTTTGTGTCTGTAGTACAAATTTTCTTTTTTTGAATGAAAATGCGAGCGTGGTTAAATTAAAAAAACACTGTCCTGTTAAGCTTTCATGGAGCCGAACCTGGAGAAGACGCCAACGAAGGATGTCTTTGTTCCGCCCCCTGAAGCTTTTGGAAGGGTCATTCTTTTATTATTATTTATTTTTCGATATTATTATTATAAGAATAAATAAATATTGATATATTTTTTCCAAGCTATAATTTTAATATAATGCTATAAAATAGTTACTGAAATATTATCACAAATAAATTTAAACATTTGTAGAGAATGAACGATTTGGCAGTTGAAGATGAAGAAAAATTATCCATAGTTATTAAGAAGATTCAGAAAGATATGGACGTTTACAGGGTGCCTATTGAAACCTTTTTCAAAAATTTTGAAACGGTAAGAAAAAGAGAAAAAATTTATTTCAAATTTTTTTTTCAAAATCTATTAAACTCTTTTTAAATTTGTGAAACTATTTCAAATTTTTTAATTTTAGAAACTTTACTTCATAATAACAATATTATTATTATTGTTAATTTTTTAAATTAATAATTTCAGAGTAAAAACAGCCGCCTGGTAACGAAAACTCAGTTCAGACGCGTTCTATCTCAGTGTCAAATCAACATTCATCCGTCTGATTTCGAACTGCTCTGCAAGAAATTCGCATACCCAGTCCCGGACTACATAAACATCCCGGCTTCCATGGAACTGGTTGATCCGTGTAAAAGTTTTTTTTTTATTGACAGTTTGGAAATTTACTTTTTTGTTGATTTTGCCCATTTAAAATTAACAGAAAATTATTCAAAAACATTGTTAATGTGTTTAAAACTGCGATTCCATTATAAATGGTTATAACGCGTAAAATTTGATAATTCTTTACAGCAGTATATAACTACTTTATTATTTCTTCCTATTAGAATGTAATATTTTTTTTATTTAGTTGTCAGAATTTTAAAACAAAGAAACTCCGAGAAAAATGCGAAAAACATATTGTCTGCGGATTTTAATAATAATTGTAACAATAATAATGGAATCACCGGCAACACCAACCGTAAAGAACCGATAGACGTTGGATGCCTGATGGACAAATTGCGAAACCATATCATCCTAATGAGCATTCGGGTGAATAGAATTTTATTTTTTTTAATTTTTTACCGTCGTTTTTTGGCAGTTACTTTAGTGGCAAATCATACACACGTATTGTATGGCGATCTTTGAATTTTGTACAGACAGTACTCGAAACAGGTTGTCATGCAATGGCACTTCTACCATCTGAGCTAACCCGCCAACTAAATTTTTTATTTTTCACGGCTATAATTTCATCATTAAAAAGAAATAATTTCTGTTACTCGCGACAGACGAACGATTATTTCCTAGACTTCGATCCGTTGAGATCCGGCCGTATCTCAAAGACTCAGTTTCACAGGGTGCTTGCATTCATGGGGCTGAGCAGCATCAGGCTGGGTTTGAACTTCGACCTCGATGAGATGAACGCCCTCTCCGATCATTACGAATCAAAAGTTGACTGTAATGCCGTCGATTACCGACAGTTCGTTTACGATTTGGAAAAAGGTTGGCTGTGGTTTCTAAAGAAAAGTTTGTTATCTCTAACAATTTTTATTTTAAAATGTTACAAGGTAGGTTATTTTACACAACAAATGTTTGTGATCTGCTCAAAAAATAGATTATTTAAAAAATTGTAATCTCTCTCTCTCCATCAATTCCGAAAATTTTCAAATATTCCCAAAACAGGTTACGCCGACAAACACCTCGACAAAGCTCCATCTTTGAGGATGATTCCCTACTCGGATTTACTGTGCAAAAAATCAGGAACTATAGAAAGGGAGAGTTTCTCAGAGGAGCAGAAGTTGAGGCACGATAGAGCCATGTGCAAGATCGCCTCGAAAATATACTCCAGGAACATCGATTTGCTGCAAATTTTTAGAAACTTCGATAAGTCTGTCCTTTTTGCTGCTTATTACATTTTCGTATAAATATATTTTACATTACCTATATATATATATATATTTATTTAAAAAAGCACAAAAAAGTAAAAAAAAAATATATATATATGTACGTACCTTTTTAATAAACTTCTTGTCAGTTCATTCTTATAAAAAAACATTTCGTCTTTTAATTAGTTTTATCTTTATAACAATAAATGAATATATACTCACGAATGATTTTTCATGTCAGGCTGAGACACGGACATCTAAACAGATTCAAATTCCGCCAGGCACTGGGAATTGCGGATCTATTTTGTCCGGATGAGTTGGACATGACAGCCATGGAAGCGGCGTTCTACGACGACGAAGGAGTCAACTACGTGGCGTTTCTCCAGAGTTTATACGAGTTGAAACATCAGGCTGACGTCAATGAAGCTAACAAGGTCCTCTACTATGAGAAGATTAGAGAGAAGCAGAAGTTCGTCTCGGAAAATGAGTGCTGCACTGACAAAAATATCGCATCGGATTTTCAAGCGCTCATGCTCACTCTTAAGACGAAAGTTTGTATTGTATTAAATAAAAATTCAGATGATTTATCTGAGTTTTAGAAAGTAAATTTTAAAATTATTATCATTTAAATCGGAATATTTTGAATACATTTATTATGAAATATTTCTTAGAAGACTAACAATTTCGTTTGTCGCAATGGTCATATTAAACCATAAAAACCACACAAAATGTATTACAAAACGTACACTTAACACAACAAAGTTAGCGAAACAGAACCTGCGAGTGAAAGATTGGTTTAAAGATTACGACAAGTTGAACACGGGCTACGTTACTAAATCAAATTTCAGGAGATCACTCGATCAGTTCAGATTCGAAATTAAAGAATTAGAAGTTGGTTTTTTCGGTCTTTCAAATTTTACTTTTAATTTCCTATAAACAATTGGTCTTTTGCTAATTGTGTGCGCCTTAAAACTATTAGCATTAGCTAATAGTGCTAATACTATTCTTATTACTACTACTACTACAACTATTACTACTACTTTTATTATTACTACTACTATAATTCAGGAACTTGGTTGTTATTATTTTATCGTTTATTTCATCTTAAATTTAATTTCATTTTCTCCATCTCCATCTGCAGTCATGTTTGTTAGAAGACCATTACAAGTGTCCAAGCGATCCGAACAAAATAAATTACGTAGATTTCAGCAACGAACTGGAGTCCATATTCGCTTGCCCAAATCTGGAGAAGACGCCGACGAAAGAATGCGAACCATTTAGCGTGCCAGGGAGGTGCGATTTGGTGACCTTAACTGAGGAAGAAGAACAATTGTTGGCTTGCTGCCTGCAAAAACTACTTAATATGGTTTGTAATTATTTTGCGCAATGGTTTTTATCGTAACCACTAATAATCTAAGATTGTAAAAACTAATAAACCAGTTTATAGAGTAAAATGTTGAAAATAATTGTAAGACTGTAATGTCGTATTTTAAACGAAATTTGTACAATTTTAGAGCAAAATTGTTGGCTTATCAGTGATCATGAACAAAATTTGCGCTAATTACGCCAAATTGCTACATTTTTTAATTTAAAATTTTCTCTGAAATAATACATTTTACAACAATTTGAGCATCAAAATAATACAAAATTTTAAATAAAACACACAACAAACATAGGAGCTTAATATATAATGAATGAAGGAAAATACACAAAACTTCCAGCAAACAAATACACCAAAAACAAATTGTCCGCCCACCCAGTACAAAGCTATCCATCCCTCCTTTTACCCATTCCTGCGGGATTTCGATAAAGTCAACGTCGGTGCCGTTTCCAAGACTCAATTCCGGAGAGCCCTGGACGAATTGGGATTGGGGTCGGAGATTAACAATGAGGCCGCCTGGAATGTTATTTTTAAAAAATTTGCTATACCTATCGGCAGTAGGGAAGATGTTGATTACTTTACTTTTGGTATTTGGCTGGATAGGGCCTACAAAGAAAAATCGACTTCGACATCCAAAGTTGATGACTAAATTATTGATTGTTAAAACAAATTTTATGGTTGATTTGACTTTTTTTAGATTAAAAGATTGTATATTTTGTATACGTTCAAGTTTTTGATTTTTATTCGTTTTTTCATATTTTTATAAAGAGATATTCTCATATATTTTTCTAAATATTTTGTTTGAATTGGCTTGTTAGATAGAATTTTGACAAATTATTTTTTTGAGCGTGTCATGCATTCATTATCTTAAAAACATGCCCAGTCATAAGTTTTGTTTTTGTGTCACATTTGACGCTCAAACCTTATCGACTTACCGACAGCTTATATAAAATTCCCTAAAAAACACGCTCAGTCACAAGTTTAGTTAGTCATACTAGAAGCTCCGACCTTATCGACTTATAAATAAATATCCTTAAAAACATTCAAACAACCGAGACGTTTCTTAGAAACAACAAAAGTAAGTCAACACGATAATGCTTCTCAATTTATATTTGAAAGGTCCAATTAAACAAAAAAAAGGATTTTCTGTAAGTAAACACGGCCCTTACAAAGTTATCAACTCCAATAACTTTGATTCTGATTTTTTTTAAAGAACAAAAACAAATTCTTAAAATAATGATTACGCTTCTTAACTTGAGAATTTAATTATTGAAGAAGCAATATAAACTTTTATAAAAAATTTCTTGTTGAACAACTCTCAACTGAGTAAATGTAAAAGTAAATTACATATATAAAGATAAACATTTGATAAAAAATGTTCACTCAGTTTGTTAACTACATAAGATAAACATTTTATAAATAATTTTTCTTAATGAACATGCTCAATTATTATCTAAAAAGCATAAGTTAAACTGCTTTCAACCTTTCAAAATTAACTAACTTTAGTGCTCAACCAAGCAGAAACTAAGAAACATGAAAATTTAAGTCGGTAGACACCTCGCTACTTTTCAGGCTTCACTATCTAACTAGGACTAGGCCAATTTGTTAAATAAGACGTACGAAAACAATAAAATTAAAAAAACTTTCTTAATTTCTAGTAAAATATCTTGTAGAAATCTTCTTTTTAGAAGAAAAACTAATGCTTCTTCTGTCGGAGAAAAAATTAAAATATCCATTCCATGATACCGGTCTTTTGAATGTTTGAAAACGCCGACCAATCGCAAGCAAGCCACCTGTCAGGTAACGCAAGAATCGGGGATGTCCAGAAAGTTATTCAAATTTTTTAAATGTAATTTATCTCAAAATTATACTTTTTTTTAAATTACATAATAGTTTTTTTTATTTAAAATGACTTTTTTCATGCAATGTTTTACGCATTTGAACATTTCCACTTCTATATAGTTTGGAAAAAGTAATTTAATGAAATCGGCAAGCTACAGTTCAGTCTCGCTAACAACTAAACTAACACTAATTATATTTACATAAAAAGATTGTCATTGAAAAGTTGAATAGTGTCGAAGGATTATTTTACTTATTTATTTTGTAAATTTTTCGTAAATTTCTATTTTACTACCTACAGAATACGTCGTAATGAAGTTATTAATTTTTTCTCTAATTTTCCTAATTTTAACTTGTAAAATCTTGTATGCGTCCGGCAGCAGTGGTTACAGCAGATATACAAACGACTTTGCTGTTGAGATTAATGGGGATTCAAAAGTGGCCGATGATGTGGCGAGAGCTTACGGTTTTAAACTTGTAAGACACGTAAGTTAACTCTCTGTTTAAAAGTGGTTCAATTGTGTTAAGCAAACTTCGTAAAAAGTAAATTATCAAACAAAGTACTGATTTGATGAAGTATTCATTAATTATTTATATTTTATAGTTTATATTAATCTTTTTGTTCATTTTACAAATATTTTTGAAGAAATATTTTCTATTTTTTACCTTTTAAAATAAAGCCAAAATATTTTAACAAGTAAAATTGATGCAAAAAAAAATGTCAAAAAACTTTGAACTAACTTTTTGAACAGGTTAAAAGTCTTGGTAGTGTCTACCATTTTGTCCACGATCGAGTCTCTAGAAGGTCAAGGAGGGGTGCTGATGACATAAAGTCCATACTAGAATCCGACCCTAACGTAAGATGGTTTCAAATTTTTGTTCATTCCTCCATGTATTTATCCCTCCATGAATTCATTCCTCCATGCATTCATTCATTCATTTACTCGCCCATTCATTCATTCAATTACCCATTTATTTATTCACTTATTAATTTATTCAGTCATTCACTTATTTATTCATTCATTTAAAATGAATGTTTTCATTTTTTGCATTCACTCATCTATTCATTCACCCATTTTTTCATTTATTCACTCACTCTCTTCATTCATTCACTCCTTTATTCATTCATTCACTCATTCTTTCATTCATTTCATTTAAGGTGATCTTGGTGGAACAGCAAAAGTTGTTAATGAGAAATAAACGATCAATAACTCCTAATCACCATCATAATAAAGGTAATGAAATTTTCTGGTATGATGATGGTGATGATGATGATGGTGGTGGTGGTTGTGATGATAACGACGATGATGAAGTTTATGATGATGATGATGATGATGAGGATAAAATAAAAAATATAATTTCGATAAGCATGGTGGTAATAATTATATCACAAAGATGACGATGCTGGCTTTTATAGCAATAAAATAAATGTGAAAAAATCTCAGGAATATTTCCATCTGATGATGATGATGACGATGATGATGATGATGGTGTTGATCCAGTTGTTGATTTCAACGACCCTCACTTCAAAGACCAATGGTACTTGGTATGTCCGAGAAAATTAAAAAATTATTTTATTCCACCTTAAATTAATTAATTTATTCATTCAAATAATTAATTATTTCAAATAAAAATAATAAAAAAGCATTATGTTGATATTTTTTTTATATAAAATCACCATTTTTTGATATGTAGAGAGTTTAATTTTAAAAAATGGCCACAATAAACAAACTAAAGCTGTGCTACCATCGTCGTTATTATTATAAACATGCTTGGGAATTCGTTATAGCGAATGAAATTGAAATATAGAATCCATCATTGAAATTTGTAATCAGACAGTCTGAATAAGTTTTTTAAATTTAAATTAAATTGTAATTTAAATAAATTTTCTAAATTGTAATTCCTAGCTCAACAGAGGTCAGTTGGGTGGCGTGGTGGGGCATGATCTAAACGTTTACCCGGCCTGGGTCAAAGGTTACACGGGCAAAGGTGTTGTCGTCAGCATTCTTGATGATGGTATAGATCATTCACACCCTGATCTGCAGAAAAATTATGTAGGTTTTTTTTCCATACTAGTTTGAGAAATTTTTTTTGTGTGTGTTTGTGTTGTATTTCTTTGTAGTTTGTGTTGTGTTGTATGGTATGGTTGAGTTTTTTGTATTTCGTTGTATTTTATTGCGTCGTATTTTTGATTAAATTTAATTTCTTTTGTATGTTTTAATTAAACTTTTTCACGAAGTTTAAAAAATAATTTTTTCCTCATTCTTTTTTTTTTCTCCACGCAGGACCCAGAAGCAAGCGCTGATCTGAATGACAGATCCGATAAAATGAACGATCCCATGCCTAACAAATTAAACCCTTACAACAAGTATGATGACACCAACCATTCTTTCACTCATTCTTTCTTTCATTCTATCTTTCTTTCTTTTTTTCCTTCCTTCTTACTTTCTTTCTTTCTTCCTTCCTTCCTTTCTTTATTTTTAAAATTTAATTATAAACAAAACAACTCAGATTATAATTTGCATCATATACGAAAATTTAACCTGAAAAAGACTTATGTACACATATTGACTTACATTTTTTACTGTATGTGTGGTGTGTCTGTGTTTTTGTATGTGGTGTGTGTTATTGTGTGTGTTTGTATGTGGTGTGTGTGTGTGCTTGTATGTGATGTGTGTGTGTGTGTTCATATGTGGTGTGTGTGTGTTTGTATGTGGTGTTTGTGTGTGTGTGTGTGTGTGTTTGTATATACGAATGTGTTATGTTAGGAATGCACTAATTGTCATTGCTATTATTCAAATGCTCCAGAGGATTGTTAAGTTGACGGAGGTAAATGTTATATTTTATTTTTTGTGGTTTAGAGGATTTTAGAGCTTTTTCCAATTTAAGTTTTTTTATTTTTATTCAATTTTGTCTTTATTATTTTTTATTAATTTTTTTTCAATGTTTAAAATCTTTTTTCTAATTTTATTTAAAATAATTCTTTCCTGGCGCTATTGTTAATTTGGTTTTTATTCTAACCCTAACCAGAGTTATTTATTTGGTTTTAAGTTTGTCATTGACTGGTGTGCTGGCTTTATGTTATAAATTTTTATCTTCATAAATATTGAAGTGCTTGCTATTAGTTATGCGTTATGTTATTTTCCAAAAATTTGTTTATGAATGAATGAATAAATGAATGAATGAACGAATGAATGAAAGTTTTATTTTGTTTTTGGTATAGTTTATCACTTTGAAGATTATACATTGATGGAGATTTGTTTGTCCCTTCTATCAAATGATTTAATTGACTTAGTTAAATAATCTTCAACTGTGTAATTGATTTGATAAATTGATTGTTTAATTGGTTGTTTGTTCAATTGACTGATTGGTTAATTTCAACCCTACCTACCACAATCACACACAAAAACAAACACACACACACACACAAACAAACACATACAAACAAACAAACCCACACACACACACACAGGAACACACACATACAAACAAACACACAAACACATACAAACAAATAAACACACACTCAGCCATGGTACCAGGTGTGCAGGTGAGGTGGGAGCACAGGCCAATAATTCGAACTGCTGTGTCGGTGTTGCTTTCAATTCTAAAATCGGAGGTCTTCAAATCTTCAAATTAACTTCATCCTAAACTAATTTTCAACAAATTTTTAATGTCTGCTGTTAAATTAGTTTTTCTTATTTTTTAATTGTTCTAAAAACGCTTTAGCGAAAAAAAAGAATATAGATGTTAAAAGGTATTTCACGCCTCTTATTGATAATAATCGAAATACTGAAAATGCCCTTGGTAGAGAAACTACTCTACTTTAGTGAGAATTCTACATTCTTTTAGTGAAAATAAACGAAAATGGTCCTTTCAGGTATCAGAATGTTAGATGGCTCAGTCACAGACTTGCTGGAGGGTGAGTCCCTTCTTTATAACAACCAGCACATTGATATCTACAGCGCCTCCTGGGGCCCAAACGACGACGGACGCACCATGGAGGCCCCCAACAGGTACTGCAGGTTGGCCCTCGAGGAAGGGACTTTGAAAGTGAGGAAAGATTTTTGTTTTATTTTCTGCTATGTTTGATCATTTTTATTGTTGAAAATCCAAAAAGTTTAGTTGTATGTAAAGAATGGTTGATGTTTAATGTATATGTTAGTATATATTTTATTGGTATGTCAAGTTTGGTGATTATATATTTATTTATTTATTGTTATTATTATTATTGTTGTTGTTAACTTTTGTTACAGGGTAGAAAGGGCCTTGGTTCAATTTTTGTGTGGGCCTCTGGAAATGGTGGAATGTTCCAGGACGACTGCAGCTGTGATGGTTACGTATCGAGTATACACACCCTGGCCATTGGTAGTGTCACAGACGAAGGCATGAGTACGTACTATGGGGAGGTGTGTCCGTCCGTCATGGGGGTCGTGTTCGCGGGGGGTTCTCACAGCGTTGGAGTGCCTGGGGATGTTGCTGGTGAGGATGTTGCTGGTGAGGATGGCGAGGAAGGCGGTGGTGGTGTCAATAAG